AACCGAACAGGGCCCGCGCGGGCGCGGGATCACAGTGGCCGAAACAGCGATTCTAGGCGGATTAGCCCTAAATTGCGAGATCGGAAATTAGAATTCGTTTCATTCTCTGGGAGTCTATGATGCATACCCTCCAATTCCCTTCAGCATGTCCCCCGAGATTTTTGTTGTTGCTTTTTCCCACCTCTGTTATCATCGGTCGAAACTGCGCATCACGGATCTGTTCAAATTTTGGGGGCAGAATCAAATGAATATTTCTTTTAGTTTAATTCAGACTTTTAGAGCAATAATCCAGACGTGTTTAATCGCCAAAAAGAGTTTCGCTAATGAGCACGCTCGAACATTTAACTTCAGTTTTGAAAATTATATTCCACAATAACAGAATTAATAAATTGAAGTTAAAAATGATAATGACCTAGAATAAGCCTTGAAGTAAAATTTCCAAGTTTAACTTTCAATCACTAGTCGGGCACTAAAATGCTTGGGCCTGGTTGCCTATCTAAATGTTGTTGAATTCCTTTCTGAAAAGTAAACAATTCTCAAAATGTCTTTAAGTCATATACTTCGACTTTTTAACGTGGAGTCTCAAGGTCACATACGAAAAAGGGAGAGGGAAGGCAGACTTCAATAGGGAGCAATAACAGTGGGAGCAATAACTGTAGTGACGTTAGAACTCTCTGCCTTTCCCTTTTCCGTGCGCGACCCTTCGCGAAAGTTTAGTATTTCCATAAACGTTTTAATCAAAATACTTTTTTTAATTAAATTTTCAAATGTACATCAGTCTCCCTAGCTAGTCCTTCAAAATGTATTTCTTTGTAAGCACGATACCTGGGTTATCCATTTTTTTGTTATGGCAGTGCTCCGCATACATATTATCCCACAAATTCTTAACGAAATTCAGATGGAACATGACTCATTCGCACAACCTATACGTACCATTCACCTACCCTACATATTATTATTATTATTATTATTATTATTATTATTATTATTATTATTATTATTAAATTAACATTTAACAATAAATTTACCAGAACATTCTATTTTTATAAAAAACGTATCTTTACGTTTACAAGCTTCACACATTCACAAGGAACAGCTTTTCCAAACAGTTAAAAACCCACATCCCGTGGCCCGCTAATGTATTTTTCGCCGCCTGTCTGTGAATTTCGTACTTTTTCAAACATAAATATTTTAACAGACTTCGGAAATTTCAGCTGATCTCTGACTTCACCAGAATGCTCGAAAACGTCTTGCTCTAAGTGATACAAAAGTTGGCGAAAGGGACCGTTTAGTAATCTTTTAACGAGAATCCAAAGGCGCCCAATTGATTGGGGAAACTGCAAAAAATCAGTTTCGGGAATATTTCAATCCAGATCTGAAGATAGGTATGAAAAATGCTTGTGTATGGTATGATTGTCACTACACTGAGGTAATATTCGGCGTTCATGACTACACTGCATCTAGCAAAAATCACAAGGTTACTGAGGGGCGCCGCTGCTTACAGGAGAATGGATGTGAATTCCTTCTTGCAAAAATGATAGTAAACTATTCCACAATTCGCAACAAAAAATTAAAAAAGAGGAAATCAAAGAAATTAAAGGTACACACAACATTTGTTACACGTTTCCTAATAATTTTCTCGTATACTAATACGTTCTGTAGAGTTCTCTATACTACCTAGTCCGCTGAAGCGAAAAAAGCAGACTTTTTGACAGAAAATCTCGTACTGCGAGTTCTGATACGTGATGCTCTAAAAAAGAGGATTTTTTCTGCTTCTATATGTAGTAAATTACTTTCTCTAATGCGTAGTAAAGTGAGAATCCACGTTTTGTGGGTTCTCAATTCCGCAAAAGAGGTGCGCCTTTCCGTGAACAATGTTACCGCCAAAACCCTACAGACAATTTTCACCAAATTTTAAATTTCCCAATCCATCTGGATGCCACTGCCCTTTAAATTTGAATGAGATATTTTAATTTTTGAAGGTGCTTAAACGAAATCTCAACATTTTCGAACTTTTCTTGAAAATAGTTGCAATTTTTTTTTTTTTACATTTCGTTGCTCAATTCTCGTACAAAATCATGCTTATAAAAATGGGGCAGGTCCGATTTCCGTTGATAACTTTTGTGAAATGTAAATGCAAACTAATTACACCAGTACAGTGCTCTAATTTCAGAGAAGTTAGTTCGGTGGGCTATAAGGTCGCTTGGATCAAAAGTACCCAATTGCGTAACCCTGTCTTTTCAATCATATTTTGCGGATTAGAAACACTTTTGCGAGTTTAACTAGTGTTATATTATTACGTACTAACAGTTCCAAATAATTAGAACGTACTCGTGGCACCAATAGAGATTGAGGTAATGTGACAATCCTATTTCGTTGAAACTGCCCTCTGCGAGATGTGTGATTATAAATGTGTGACTGAGGTTTCATACGGTTTACCCCCCCCC